TACCCCCTCCACTGTACCAAGTAATGGTTCTGGCCGTCGTGACGACGTCGCTGCAGGATTCTGTCAACATAGTTCTGTTGATCTGCTTGATTGTCAATGAGTGTAGGTGGTAATCGGTGAATCTCGACGCGTTGTCGGCGAGCTAGTGCACGTGATGCATAGTGTGCGTGACCGAGTGGCGCGTCTTAAGGGACAACTGGATCTTCTCTTGAGGGTCTCTCGACTTGTGGCACCGCCAGCCCCTTCGGCGTAAGCGCCTCGTAATCAGCAAGCGACAAATCAAGGTAAGGCTAAAGCAAGCCGACGTCAAACACTGGGTGCGGTCACATCCCGCGTGGTAGATTGAGCTCGTACGCTAGGCTTTTCTTGGCCACAACCGTAACCGGAACAATGAAGCGAGGACGCAACGTGGTCCCGTAGACCACTGAAACCACCTTGGTAGGTAGAATCTTAGCGATAAGAAAAGCTAGACCTTCAATCCCATAACTCTCAATACACTTTCTGCCTTTGGCATCAGCTTGTTTCTTAGTTTTTCCTGGCTATATAGCCATGCATCACGTACGTGTCGTAAGACATTCAATCGCATAGCGAGAAACTTGCTCACCTGTTTCTGAACAGTAGTTGGTCTGACATCAGCAAGCCTATCGGCTATTTCCTCCACCCAGCCCAGAACAAAGGAGTGGTAGCGTTGTAGGAACGCGATTGTGAGTGAGACCACTCACGTATAATCGAGTAAAGCCATAAGAGTCATGAAGAGCGTTGTTTAACGCAGAATCGACCACAGGAAGCATAGAGCTCCAACCTAGGCGTATCAGCGCAAACACTGCGCCAAATGTCACCAATGACACGGTTGAAACACTCAGTTTGACCATCGGTATGTGGATAATCAGCTGTGGACATGTCCAACGTGGTTCCCAGAACCTTAAATAGGGAAGTCCAAAACTTGCCAGTGGAACGTGGATCAAGATCAGAGACGAGTGCCACAGTTAAACCGTGTTGACAAAACAAACGGTCGATAAGAAGCTTCGCTGTACCTTTTTCATCAATGCAATCAGGGTCAGCCGCTTTATGAGCCATCTTGCTCAAACGGTTAACAAAGACCTCAATACTAATGTTCGAATCCTTCGGTAGGCCAAAGACAAAGTACATACTGATGGACTACCAACACCTAGTGGGTACATGCATACTAGCAAGCAGTGCAACCACATGTACTGATAGGTTTACCCGTTGACACGTTCCACATGTACGCACATATGTGCTTATCCATTTGTCTAACCAATACGTCTGGCACAACGAGCCATAGGTCTTTTCACGACCGAGATGACCGCCCAAAGCAGTGTCGTGTGCCTCATAGAGGATTCGATACTTCAACTCCTCAATACGAGGAACAACGATACGAGGGGTATTCTCAATATCCGTGCGATAGCACAACAGGCCACTATCAATGGAATTTCGATGTAGCCTCGCACGTAAACGTGCCGATAATTCTATGTCCGAGTCTTTAAACTCGTCGATCCCAAGAGCCCGTAGCAAAGCTACACGTTGTTCATCCTTGGCATAATCCGCACGGATTATTATAGAGACTGATCACGACAGTGTCGTAACATAAGCAATCTCATATTTAGATCTGCGTAACAACGCATCAGCCAAAGCATTTAGTTTTACAGCTTATAGTTCACCTCAAAGTTATATTCGGCAAAGAAGGAAAGCCAACGGGTCATACGTTGCGAGAGATGCGGCGACGGTTTCGCAGTGCGCAATGACGCATGATCTGTGAAGATCACAAATGGATTTGAGCAAAGCAGATGTACTCTGAATTTGACCAGAGCATACTTCAAAGAAAGTATTTCTTTGTCATGAACTGGATATTTCTTTTCAGCAGCTTTAAGCTGGAGAGACTCATACGCAATGACGCGCTCGCGTCCATCAACATCTGGTTGTAAAGAGCAATGCCAATGGAAAAGTCAGATGCATCACAGACGAAACTGAAGGGACGATCAGGATTGGGCAATTTCAGTATTGGCGCATGAAGAAACTTTCCATAACCGCTCTAAAAACATCGTGCTCGGTATTACCCCAACACCAGTCCACATCTACTCTTAGGAGATTGGATAATGGCGTAGCCATGTATGCGTAATTCGCACTATAATTGTGCAAGTAATTGGCAAGGCCAACCCACTTACGTAAGTCCTTTGGTTCTTAAGAACCTGCCCATCGATTATAGCTCTTGCCTTAGCGGTGTCCTCTCGAAGGCCTCGCTTCCCAACGAAGCACCCTACAAAGGGAATCTCTTCTTCACCAAAGATGCACTTAGACGCATTAGCATGAAAATTATATGTGCGCATGCACTCGAGCACTGCTCGTAAATAATCAATGTAATTATCGACATCCGATCGACTATTCGATACACGACTATGGACAAATATGTCGTCAAAGTACGTTTGGGCGTAAGTCAGATGAGGTCTTAACATTTGCTTCACCAGACGTTTAAAAATAGCCTGGGCGTTAAAAATACCTTGTGGCATAACGAGCCACTCCCGGAGATTACCGCTCGGAGTACTCACCGCTGTTAGCGGAAATATTACTCGCTTGCATGAGCAACGGTAATAACCATCAGCTAAATCGAGTGCACTAAACATGATTAATCCTATTATATCTTTTTTAGAACATCTTTTCTAAAAATAGGCATCTGCGCCGATGAAGTGGCTACATTAGGCTTATTTGAGCACGCAAAATGCGCCGCTTGCCATTGGGCTTTCTGACACAAAACGTCAGTGTTGAATGGGGAGACTTGCTCTCACGCACAATTTTAGCCGCGTACTTAGCACTAAAAATTGTATATGATGTCACATTGTTCTATAGGCATAGGCCAATGCCGTATTACGTCGTATTTAGTTTCTGGAATAAAGTCAATTGCATGACGTACACCTCTATCAGGTGGTAAGACTTATGGTGGATTGGGACAAACCACGTATTCTATATCCTTAACCAAAGGATAAATGGGTCCGAAGGATCTGTAAGGATCGAAGATCCACTTTGCGAACCAAGTGCCGCTTTTGTGTCTTCTAGGACAGACTCATCTAATAATGAGGACGAGTTCAACTCGACATCAGGTCTAATGACCACTAATTCGAATTTACCTTCTGCCTTTAACTCGTTATCAGAAATTTCGTCTAGCTCACGCAGAGCATTCGAAGATGTAAGGGTTTCAAGGCTAAAATTACCATCAAACTGACCTATCACTCCGTTTACAAGCGTATATAGTGCATTACTTTCATCAGTCAGTGACTGTGTGGACGCCTGGCTTTACAGTTGCCACCTGGCGTCAAGTCGTCTCTTTGAGACCTAACAACTCTTAGGGGTTGGAACAGTACAGTCCCCTTTATTCCTTCTAACAGTAGTGCGCTCTATACTAGAGCCGATGCCTTGACCGACATCCGGTGAAGGGTTACATAACTCGAACTCTTCACCCAGTAAATTTCCAAGTGCTACTACACATACATTATCCGGGCCTAACCCTGAACTGAACGATGTTTCTCCAACAATGTGAATACCGACATGAAGTGTGGTACCTTCTTGACCGATCACAATCGGCATGATTTCACGCGCCATCTCACACACATCAAAGGAATCACATCATTGAAAATTCGACCCTAAGCCAATCATACTTTCAGCATGCAGTGACTCGTTTTTGCGACGAGTAACACTCAACGGAGTACGCGCCATATCACCGATATTTAACGAGCTACGATCGAATCTATGTTTACAACATTGAAATTAGACAACTCAGACATTCTAATGCTCAGCACATTTACATATTCTGTCAAAGGCTCGCGCCAGTAGTGCTTCTGCTGCCTAGAGAAGGTGGGTTTATGAATCTCTAAAACTTTGCTTGTATCGTTGCGCGTGCCGCCTAAGGTCTCAGACTTCCAATGAATCCATGGCTAATGGCGATCAAGCCAAGCCATACCAAGGATGAGATCATATATCGAGTCCAAGCCAAGGACAAGATAGCGTTTAATGCTGTTAAAGTATTAAATTGTATACCTAAGTTCAATGGAACTTTAAGCACAGTAACACGACTTCCAGCCGCTAAACGAACCGTGTAAAACCACCCTCATGCGCTGTAAGTGCCTCAGCATAACGCTAATTCCACTCATGGGGACGACGTTGAGCATAATTGCAAGACGCTCCAGAGTCAATAATTTCGACCAAGGCCTCTTAGAGCCCTTAATTTTCGCCTCGGCGACTAACGAGCTAGGCTTGTGTCCACGCCCCATACCAATAGGTACAGAGCTCTTTAAAGCTAAGCCCTATTTAACTTGGCCTGCTAAATGTGTAACAGAACCCAGTTCTTCCCCAGTAGGGCGCCCCTCGCCTACTGGGCTTCGGCATTTCCCCGTGCCATGCCATGATTCTGGATCGGGGTTGATTGTTGGCCTGTAGCCTGACGCTGTTTACGCAAAGGGCAACCAGGCCGCAAGTATCTAGTGCTTCCGCACGTAAAACATCGTCGAACGATGCGTTGCTGCTCAGCACCTTGAACTTCAACTTCACCTTCATCTTCAGCATAGCTGAGTCCATCGGTTCCGGCCTATTAAGTCCGAATCACTCGTGGAGTTTGCACTCGCAGAGCTATGGTTGCACCCAGTACAACCAAGCCAGGCCGACTAGAAGCTATGCTTCGCATTGAGGGAAATTCTCACGGCCTCTTCGAAAGTAGAGGGCTGAACTCGAAAAATTCGGTTCTGGCTATGCCAGTACGAAGACCTTTCATTAAAATAGTCACATGAACTACCTCAGGCAGAGGGTCAAACTGCATTGCAGCCATGATAGTTATCAACTATTAGACATAGTCCGGTAGCTCATTCTTACCCTCACGGGTAGACAAGAAGCGTTTACGCACGCGGTAAGCTTGGTATGTAGTGAAAACACCTGTACCCATAGTGACTTAAGCAGCTTTCAGGTGGAAAATGCTTGATCAGCCTACGTGCTAAACTTCAGGGCCCATTCCATAGCTCTTCCATTGAACTTGGAGACGAGATCTGTCGATGGTCAAGCTTGATCAGGCCTGATCTCATGGCCATCTCAATCTCACGGATCCAGAGGATGAGGTCGTCACCTTCCTTACCGGAGTACTCTAAGTTCCACTCAAAGTGGACGAGGCCTAGCCTCTTCGTCTGGTACAGACACATAGCGTGTAGGCATAGCCGACACTACTTGGTCTTGGACCTGCCCTAAAAGGGTCGCTTCATACTGCATGAAGCCTTCGACAAGTGCATTTTGAACTTCAGGGCCTTGTGAAACAAGGAACTCCACGTACTCTGGACCCAAAGTTGCGGTCAGCTTATCAAGCGCGACCTTTTGAGTCTCAGAGAGGGGAATGGGGTTTTTCATCCTCACAGAGGATCGGTCTTATAGACTTAGGCGTAGATTGACTACAAGTGCTACCAAGTGTGGCGGAGCTACGCAGCTCCTTATTCAGAGGAAGACTTAACGCTATACTAGTTAATTAGTTCTAAAGAACTAGACTCAGTGAGTCAACAAGCTTAAACTTTATAGTCCTTATTCCATGGGACCAAACGATTCAGTGAATCGACAGCACTTAGTGCTAAAGAATAACTATCTACCTCAGGGAGGTGTTGCTAACTCTTAGCGATCAGCGATCAACGACCAAAGACGCCTCGCAAGGCACGTGTCTTTAGGATCAAAAGGTGGACTTGATTTTATTTACATTTAAACCTATAGAATAACTGAAGCCTAATCTAGACACTCAAGTCCTAAGTTGATCCAACTAAGATCTCTCCTATCTGGTGGCTGACACCAGTCAGCCCCTACAAACCAATGATACATTCTAAATCTCTTTCAGTGGGACATCATCCGTGTGTCTATGACACAGGGTACCAGGTACTCTGTGCGTGTAACCCCTTGACAGCAGACATGCACCGTACGTCACATATCTTTGATACAGTGTTGTCATGAAAATGATACCCACGGCTGAGTTCAGCCCTTAGTACGTTGTGTAGTCTGCGTTGAAGATCACGAGGCCAAAGATGATGGCCACGATAAGCGCGAGCCAACACAGAGTCAAGTTGTACGATAATGTTCGCGAGTACGTGGAATGGAATCGCTGCATGATTAATCAGACTTGCATCCAGGAAGTAGCAGCTCACTCGTGCTGGAACACTAGCTTTGGTAGAATATCGGGTGCAGTTTCCGTCGCACCAGGTTCAGCTAGACGAGTCAGCAACACTTGATGCTCCAGAAATAATTTGGACATGGGTAATCTATCTATTGAAGATGTTCAACTCGTCCATAAGGCTCAGCACCAATTCCAGTCAATGGGAGCTCTTTAATCTCCGCATCTCAGACCTTCTACATATAGCATAATACAGATAAATATTATTATTAAGCTAATTAGCTGTTCCTAAAAATGGCTGACGCCATTTACAGTACGGAATAGCACAATTCAAAGTACAGAATAGCCTCGCCCATGTTTCTCATAAACTTTGTTTAGACTGTGTTCCTTCTGCAAAATTAAGTGGTTCCTTCTGAGACATTGTGGATGATGACCTTGTTTCTGATGTGGTACACTCTCATAAATCATCGATGAGAGACACACTCTCAGCCAACAACGTTGCCACTGAAAGTCGTGCCCTCGGCTGTACGACGCCATGTGCAACGACTATCGAGTCTCTACCTCTATCCAATTATGCACGTCCTGCATCGTGTCTATCAGATGAATTACAGATCTATCTTGACAATCTCGAGATTGATAAAGACGTCGACAGACTCTTCCACATGCGCGAAGGCCGCCGCCAGCTCGACACTTTTCTGCAGAAGCAGCACGAAGGGGCCAGGAGCTTTGAGCAAGTTGTTGAACGCGATTCCAAGCTTTGGGAAGAGCATTTGCGAACGGCCCAGTGTAACGACGATGTGGTGGTGCGTACACGCCACGTGCTTTCGCTTTTGCCTGGCCTGGACAATGTTTACGATATTAAAGTGGGGCTACCTGGTAGACCCGACGATGCAGTGTATCTCAAGTCTTCTTACGCTAGACAGTGGCTGCCGCGTGGAAACTGTATTGCAGAGTGGAAAAGACAGAACATGACGTACTTCTTTCCGCTAGTGCGTGGGTACCGAAAGTTTACTGGCCAAGAGGACGACGGAGAACTCAAGAAACGCACAGAGGATGCACAAGCTGAAATGTTAAAATTCTTTACTAAGCCGCGCGCACAGACAGAGTGGGTAATATCCACCGTCAAAGAGAACGGTGAAGCCGGTCACTTGGCTGTACTGAAGCGGAGCAACGGGGAGTTTATCTACGTGCTCGGGTCGAAAAATACTCATTTGCTAGCTCAGAAAACGGAGGATATTGACCGGGCAAGAATGCAGGGGCGAAGTAATAACAAGAACGATCCCTTCCTCGCCGCAGCACCCATTGCCACTGCTATTTTGCGCAAGCTATTTGCACTCAAGCCGGCTGATCGTTCGTTGCTGTGTGAGTTCTTATGGCAAACACGTGCCACCGCATCTTTCGAGGTGCTTTGCCCAAGCCACCAGCACGTCCAGCTACCAAAAAATCTTCGTGAAGACACTTCTGTTTTCTATGGGTTATCACTGATGACCTTGAATCATGCGGAGGGTGCTGAGATTTGTGTAAATCCCGTGCTTTTGTACGAATTCTTTGGCGCGCTTGGGATTCAAACTGTGTCCTATACTGTTGAAAGGTTCGATGCTGGTGCCTTTGATATCATGCTTGAGCGCAGTAAGCGCGCCTACAATATTGAAGGTTGCGTCTCTTTGTTCCTTGACAACAAAGCTGCTGTGATTGGCATGGAGAAGCATAAGAGCATCTGGTATGTGTGCTTGCGAGCAATTCGTGAAAAGGCCAAAGCCTTTTGTCGTGCGGTAAAGCTAGCTGTCACTTCATCATGTCAGGAGGAAAAGCTCGAAGCAGCCAAGAAGTCAACACAGAAGCGCCTCCAAGCCATTTCAAAATATATGCGAATCTCAGACGACATTTCCAATCGGTACGAGAATCTTGGCACGCTGTTCCTTGAGTATTTGCTCAAAAAAGAGATCGTTTGCGATCCAACGGTTCATGAAGACCAATCGATCGAAGCAAGACGCAAGCAGGTCGCTAGAGAAGTTGCCGACCTTTTCCCGATAGTATGGAATAGGTTCCTCGACCATACTGGTCTGAACGATGATATCGGTCTGCAAGGAAAGAATGGATAAATTTCTGATTACCACGCCTGCTAATCACGTGGATCAACACCGCAGCTTCCCAATTACGCCTGGCTACTTTTGTCTTTCCACCACCATGTCTTTATTGTGCCGTCATGCGAGCTTGAAGCAAGCAGTGCCTGCTTCTCGTGCCAATGGGCATTGTAGGTCACGCCACCGTGACCAGTGAGCCGCTCAAGCAACTTGCCCGTAGCCACCTCCCAGATGTATACGTAGCCGTCCTCGGATCCACCTAACACAAAGCTTTCACGTGGACCGAACGATGCACGTACGATGTTTTTTGCAGTATTTTGGTGGCCCTTGAAGCGCTGAAGCGGACGTTGCTCTACGTGGCGGCTTCCCGAAAAAACACTACTTCCACTGCTGATACTTCCACTTGCACTCAGGTTGCCACTGCTGCCGTATGCAGCAACCCCCAGGATTCCAGTACCGTTGCCTAGTGAGTGGCTAAATCCATAGCCATTGACCCCGTTACCCCCTAGTGAGCAGCCCGTATGTGATCCACTTGACACAACGCCGGATGCCCCACTACTAATCCCTGTTGTCAGATGGGCACGTGGAGTGTGCAGCATACGTAGGTCCCACAATCGATTGCTGTTGTTTCGTGAGCCACTTAGTAGTGTATATCCATTCGAGGCCATTGAGATAGATGTTACCTCACCCAGAGTTTGACGCAAAGTGTGGACACAGAGCCCACTAAGGATATCCCACAATCGGATCGTGCCATCTTTAGACGCGCTTACGACAAAATTGGCATGTCTGTTAAATTGCACATCGCACACTGACGCAAAGTGCCCGCGAAACGTTTTTACCACAACACCGGTGGCAATGTCCCACAATCGCACACTTTGATCGTATCCTCCAGTCACCAAGTGCGTCTCACTGGGGTGCAAGTTCACGGTGTACACGTCACCACCATTTGGACTCGCGAGCGTTGTCAGACATTCGGCTGATGTCACTGAGTAATTGTGGGGTAGCGAGGGGTTAGCTGCAACAGCAGATGAGCCACCTGATGACGCAGCGGCAAAAGCTTCGGGTGCAGGTTGCATAACATTAGATCCACGCTTGTCATTAGAATGATCGCTTAAGCTACTTTGAGCAGCAGCGCGCTCGGCGAGCGCCGCACGCAAGTCCCAAACCTTGACAGTACCATCGCCCGATCCAGAATAGAGACGTTCTCCTGATGTACAAGTGGCAAGATACCAGATTCTGGACGAATGGCCGAGCAGGTTTCGAGTCCAATGTCTACAGATCGTGCCCATGGTCTCATCTGCTTCTTCCTCGCCGCCTTCCAGCTGCGCACTCGACAGTTCCGTGGTCCAAAGCTTAATTGAGGCATCACTGGAGCCCGAAGCCAGCAACTCACCATCAGTTCCCACAAATGTGACAAATTTAACATTTTGCGAGTGACCGACGTAGGTGGTTTTCACTGCATTTGGAAGCACTTCACACTCGAAATCCCGCAATAGCGTAGATACCTTTGGAATGGTTTTTGGATGGTATCGACTGAACTCCATCTGATACGCTACACTTTGGTGTAGTAGCTGCACCAGACGGTTGTCCGGCATCACAACGGGTGGCGTAATCAAGGCCACATCTCTATCCTGTTGAGGTGAAATAACCTCTTCTAGGGCGAAAGTGGCTTTGAGCTGTTCTACCAACTTCTCTCTTGATCCCACGACACCTTCCCAGTCCCGAAAAGCATTGGACTCACCTACAGCTTTGCACGTGAGCAAGTAACAGAGTTCCTTAAATTCGTGGCGACTGGAACTCGTCGCGACCGCCACCTTCTCAAGCGGCTTAAGGTGTGTGTTGAGAAAGGTAAACGCCTTTTGGTACTCCTGCCGATCAATAAGTTCGAGATATTCCTGCTTGCAGACAGCGTAAAGGAAACCCTGATGAGCCGCATGAAATTTCTTCAGGTGCTTGCCCAGCAGTTTGGCCACAAGATCCCAATCCCCTTCCATAATAGCGGCACCCAAGCGTCGCAGTGCATCTCGTTCTTGCAGCCTGATGTGACGCTTGACATTGGCTTCGTCTTGGATCGTAGCGCTTGACATTGTGAATCCTTCCTGCTGCAGGTACTGCGTAATGAGCGCCAGCAGCTCCTGTTTGATCTGCGAATTCTGTTCATCGAAGGTAGCTTCAGGGGAAATGCTTGTACGGTGGTGGCCCACGTGGGACCACTGCGCTGCGGCGGAGCTAGAGCCGCCCTTTTGGCTGGCGGGAGGTAGCGGGGGAGTTGCCATTTCAACCCACCAATTTATTGACAGTAAGGTGAAACACGTTCATTGCCCACTTTTGTGCTACATATCGGAATCGTACTTTGTTGCTGGGACTGTGGCAACAGTAATTAGGGCAGTCTGTAAAGTGAGGTAGAATCAGAGACAGAATCTTCGGAAACTGGTGAAACATGGCAATGGGAACTAAGGGGTTTACAATCTTCTACTGTTTGAAGTTTTGTGATGCGTAACTCGACTATGTTGTATCCCACCGTAAAGCGCAGCTGTGGTGGTAATTCTTATCTACCTGATCACTGCTCATTTAATCAGGGTTTGTATGGAACGATCCCTACAAAAATCTGCATCGACCCTCCAAAAATTTGCAGTGTACCTAAATCATGTGCCCAATTATATATAAAAAAAGATTGTAAACGTAACGGGGTCACACTAGCCATTGGCTAAATTGGTCAAAGACCTTGCCTCATTGATATGGATGAATGTGTGTGACGTTAGATTTTATATCAGCAAGAGAAAATCGATTGATCGATATTCCCAGGTTTACGGTACTTACCGTGTACGTACTTTGTACCGTCATCATTTGATGACTGAGTGATGCGCTAATCATCCATTTAGTTCGAATCCTTGTATTTGAATTAGTTTTAGTTTAGTATAATATAGGGTACTTAAAGAAGGATTTTCCTTGATGTAAAATAAAAATAAAGTTCAGTTCTCATTTTGAGCAGAAGTCCCTAGACTTCCCCCCCTTTTCGCACATTGTGCCCTGCAGTTCCTTAGAACTGCCGTAGCTTAGAGAGTCCTTAGACTCCCCTGCACGTTGTGCTTGTGGTTCTCTAGAACTACACAGTAGTTGAGCTGTTCGCTCGTAGAGTCCACCCGAGTTCCGTAGAACTGGGTGACTCTTTAACTTGATGTATTAGTTCCGTAGAACTAATAGGCTGTTAGCCGTAAGCCGTTGACTTGTTAAATAAGGCTTCCTCTGACTTAAAGGGCTGCGCAGCTCCGCTACACTTGGTAGCACTTGTAGTCAATCCTACACCTGAGTCGTTTCGACTAATCCTCTGGGAGAGATGGAGGGTCTTGACTACCTCTCTGTGGCTCAACGTATCGCGCTTGATAAGATTAGATCGTTGATAGGGGTCGAGCAGGTTGACCACGTTGTGGCCCAAGGCCCAGAAGTGCTTAATGCTCGTCTTGATGTATTTATGCAGTTTGAAACTACGCTGATAGGGCAGGTCCACGACCATTTAGCCTCAGATGTGCCTACACAGTACTTTCCAGTACCTGACAATAAATCAAGATTCGTCCTCTCACTCTTAGCGTTAAGACTTTTATGGGGAAATTCTCCTCCTCTGGATCCAAGAAATCGATATGACTATTGAAGCCGCCTTGCTTCAATCGGAGCGACAGAAAGTTGGCCTAGCCATTTCTAAGCTCGGTGGTAGAGCCAAAGAATGGGCTCTTACCTGTGATACGTCGGTTAGCGCTGCGTTCCCCAAATGGGATTTGCTTTAACGAGAGATGTCTCGGGTGTTCGCGCCACCGAATCAAGCGTATCGTGTTCGCTTTCTATTGCTAGCCGCTAGGCGAGGGAAAGAGAGAATTATCGGACTTTGCCCAAGGGTTGCAAACTCTCGTAGCTGCTATGCAGATGGACCCTCTCCCAGAGCAAGTCCGTGTCACCATTTTTATGGAGGGCCTTCGTGCGAAGATCGCGAGGACGGAAGTCTTCCGCGTCCACCCCTCAATGTTTGAAGGGGCCGTACGCCAAGGCATCAAGAGCTATGCTCAACAGATGCGAATATAGTGGATAACTGTCCACAGAGTGAGGTCGGCCATGAGGGCACCACATCTGATGTTGGTAATGACATTGACTCTCTGAGAGAGCGGGTTAAGGTTGAAGATAACCTTCACCTCGTCGAACCGGATGATCCTAACACGTTGAAGTGCTCAGTCACTGCACATAAACGACAGCGACGCCAGATGGCGGCTGTGAAAAGAAGGGCTTCTGCCATGACCCAGAATAACACTAGTGAACAGTTACACACGTTAGTCAATAGGGTGTCGGGTGCGATTGATAGAGAAGTTGGCCTCGATGCCCTCCCGTCGATTAACACTCTGCTAGAGCTAGACGAAATGTCTGTAGACGAACTTCATCAAGCCTTGAAGGCTGGTGCTTTTTCCGATATAGTGGTCCTTAGACCTGATCTTGAGTTGAACTCGTCATCCCTTGTAGATGAGACAGTCCTTGAGGACAAAAAAGTTGCACTCAGTGCTCGCAGTGGATCTGCCATTTGAAGGATCCTTCGGATCACTTCTATCCTTTAGTATAGGAATTTCAGGACGTGGTGTGTCATGATCCGCCATCCACTCTAACTCCAGACAGAGGTGTGCGTCATGAAATTGACCTGGGCCCTGGGACCAAATACTGTCTCACACGGCAATGGTCATTACCTATGGAACAGTGTGAAGTTATTGACGAGTTCTTTCGTGCAAAGCACGCGGCAGGCATGGTGCGGGAGAGCAAATCTCTACACTCGACACCGACATGTTTTGTCAGAAAGCCCAATGGTAATTGGCGTATTGTGCACGCTTACAATAAGCTCAATGCGGCCACTATACCTGCGCAGACACCTATTCCTAAAAAGAATGTTCTTCAGAACAATATGGTAGGGTGTACATTGTACAGCGCACTCGACTTAGTCGATGATTATGATTAACTGCTCATGCGAGCGAGTGATATCCCGCTCACAGCGGTTAGCACGCCGAGTGGCATGCTTTGGGAGTGGCTTGTTATGCCTCAGAGACTTTCTAATGCCCCCGCAACTTTTAATCGTCTCGTGACGCAGTTATTCCGCCCTCATAGAGGATATGAACAAAGCTATTTGATGACATTTTTGTCCATAGCTGTGCAGAACAAGGAAGATCAGATGTGAAATATCACATTGATCATTTAAGAGCAGCGCTCGGGTGCATGTGCTCCAACAAGTTGTATGCAAATGCATCTAAATACATTTTTGGTGCTGAAGAAATCATTTTCTAGGGTGCTTCATTGGAAAGCGTGGCCTACGGGCAGATCCCGCTAAAGTAAAATTCATTGTGGATTGGCCGGTTCCGTCGAACCCAAAAGACTTGCGTAAATGGCCTGGTTTAGCCAATTACTTACACCAGTATAGTGCAAATTATGCTGACATGGCAAGGCTATTAATCAACCTCCTTAAAAAGGACGCGGTTTAGTGTTGGGACTCGTTTCAGGCATAAGCTTTTAAAGCTGTTAAGGAGTTTCTCTTTCATGCTTCAATTTTGGCTTTGCCTGACCCGGAGCGAACTTTCACTGTGGTCTGTGACGCGTCTGATTTTGCCATTGGCAGTGCATTACTGCAGACAGATGTCGATGGAAATGAGCGCGTCATTGCGTATGAGTCTCGCCAGCTAAAAGCTGCTGAAAAGAAATATCCAGTTCATGAAAAGGAGTTACTTGCAATGAAGTATGCTCTTGTCAAGTTCAGAGTACATCTACTTGGCTCCAAGCCGTTGGTAATCTACAGGGATCATGAGTCGTTGCGCACTGCAACCCAGTCGCCTCATCTCTCGCAACGTATGGCCCGTTGGCTTTCTTTCTTTGCTGAGTATAACTTCGAGGTGAAGTATAAACCAGGGAAGAAAAATGCCTTGGCCGATGTGCTATCACGCAGGCCGGATAATGAGCTTGCTCATGCTACGACTCTGTCTTCTTCTATCCCTAATTTAATCCGTGCGGCTTATGCCAAGGATGATCAGTGTGTAGCGTTGTTACGCGCACTCGGAGTGATGAGTTAAAACAATCGGATACTAAATTTTCGGCACGCTCGCATGCAGGGATACATCAATATTCTTTCGATCATGGCCTCTTGTGCTATAGCACGGATGCGGCGGATACTCCGCGCATCGTAGTATCTCATGATGAGGAATTGAAATAACGTATCCTCTTTGAGGCTCATGATACAGCTTCGAGCGGTCATCTCGGTCGAGAGAAGACCTATGGCTCGGTCAGCCAACACTATTTGTGGCCCAAATTATATAAATGGGTGAGCACATATGTGCGTACGTGTGAAACGTGTCAACGGGTCAAACCCTCCGCTCATGCGGCTGCGTCTTTGGCGAGTTTGCCTATACCCACGGGTTGTTGGGAATCCATCAGTATGGATTTTGTGTTTGGTTTGCCAACAGATTTGGATGGCAACACTGGTATTGTGGTCTTTGTTGACCGTTTGAGCAATATGACTCATTTAGCGGCTGTGCCAGCTTCGATTGATGGTGAACGTGCAGCACAGCTGTTTATCTATCGCGTGTATTCGTCAACACGGTTTACCTTGAGCAATTATTTCAGATTGCGGTCCTCGCTTTAAGATGAAGTTTTGGAAGTCCATGTTCAAGGTGCTCGGCACCAGATTGGACATGTCCACCGCGGATCATCCGCAGAACGATGGTCAAACTGAACGCGTTAATCGTGTCATTGGTGACATTTTGTGCAGCGTTTGCGCAGATACGCCTCGGCGTTGGAGCTCTATGCTTCCGGTGGTCGAATTTGCAGTGAACAATTCGGTTCATACCTCGACTGGCTACACCCCGTTCTATGTGAACAACCTCACCAATCCGCGCGTCCCATTGATGCTACCACTCCTTGGCTCCGGGCTTGGTGTGGGAGGGATTGCCGATTGGCTTGCTGATGTCAGCCCTGCCACTGCTCAGAAACAGGTTGGTGTGTTCCTTGCGACAAGGTTGAATGTCTTAAGACATGTGCGAGACGCAATGATAGCCAAGATAAATAAAAGGAATAAGCAGATGCCAGATTCAGATTTTGCATTGAAAGTTATGAGGTCGGAGACCAAGTCTTGCTAAACGCTAAAGATCTACCTACAAATGTAATGTCAGCTGTTTTTAAAACGAAGTTGCGTCCGCGCTTCATCGGACCTTTTACGGTCGTGGCCAAGAAGGGCCTTGCGTATACGCTCAACTTGCCGCGCAAA